GAGTTCTGATTCATTCTCAGATGCAGGCTCAAATGTAAACTGAAGAAGATGAAGGTTGGAATGGGATAGTCCCCAGGTTTCTAGCACGGCATCAAGGATGGTCTTCACAGTAGCTTATGGCGGGGGTGGGGGTTGGGGATCCCTATAGGATTGAGGTTAGATGAGAGAAGTATTAAGCAAGTCCTGACTCTTCAAAGTCTCGGAGATCTTCCATGTGGGTAGTTGGTGAAGTTACTGAAGTATTAAAATCGGTCTTTGACAGGTAAAGACGCACCTACCATACAGGCTTCCACCAGGAAGGCCTGTCAGATAGGAACCTAAATATAATTTTCTCAGACTTCGTTCATGAGAGCCTGGAGTACATATTTGGAAAGGGTTATGAAGGGGGAAGTGATGATCTCAGAATGCTGTGGTTAATTAATGAAGCATAAAATTGGAAAGAGATATTAACTTGTCAAGGAGTGAATGGAAACGAAAGGATAGATGTGTACAGGAATAGCCAGAGTGTCTATCAGGCAAGGGAAGCAGATGACAGGTGACACAGATCACAGGTCAAGACGATAGTTAGCTGCTCTTTCTATGGCTCTGGTGTCACAAAGGTACTGAGGGGTTCGAGACACACCCCTCCCAGTCCGTGAGCAGAGGAGACACTAGAGGAGAAAGCTGTTTGGTCGCTGCCATAGAAAAAGTGTTCAAAAATACAAAACAAGGTTAATGTAACAAGTTCAAGAAGAAAACACAATGTCAAGCCAGGGGTGACGCTGCACACCTTTAATCCCAGCTCTTAGGAGGCAGAGGCAGGCAGATCTCTGAGTTCAAGGCCACCCTAGTCTATGGAGTGAGTTCTAGGACAGCCAGGGCTACACAGAGAAACCCTGAACCCAAAGAAAATCATATAGGCTTCCTCCTGGATATTAACCTTCATCAGGCGATGAAAGGAGACAGAGACAGAGGCCCACATTGGAGCACCGGACCGAAATCCCAAGGTCCAAATCAGGAGCAGAAGGAGAGAGAGCACAAGCAAGGAACTCTGGACCGCTAGGGGTGCACCCACACACTGAGACAATGGGGATGTTCTATCGGGAACTCACCAAGGCCAGCTGGCCTGTTTCTGAAAAAGCTTGGGATAAAACCGGACTCGCTGAACATAGCGGACAATGAGGACTGCTGAGAAGTCAAGAACAATGGCACTGGGTTTTGATCCTACTGCACGTACTGGCTTTGTGGGAGCCTAGGCAGTTTGGTTGCTCACCTTACTAGACCTGGAAGAAGGTGGGAGATCCTTGGACTTCCCACAGGGCAGGGAACCCTCACTACTCTTTTGGCTGACGAGGGAGGGGGACTTCATTGGGGGAGGGGGAAGGAAATGGGAGGTGGTGGCGGGGAGGAGGCAAAAATCTTTAAAAATAAATGAATTAATAAAAAAAGAAATATAATTATATTGATCTCAAAATAAAAAACTATTTAAAAAATAAAAGATTAAATAAAAAAAAGAAAACTAAACCAAAACAACAAAAAGAAAACAACAATTCAGTGTTAGGGTGGAAAGCACAGAAAAGTGGGTAGTTAGTGAATTAGGGGTCAATCAGAAAGGGGTTGTCAAGTTCCAACATAGCTGTTTTGGTTTCTTGCCATTGACACAAGCTTTTAAACACAGTGCCAGGAACTTCTTTGCAAAATGTATGTTAACCAGTTGTGATTTAACGTATTACATACTAGATATAATGATTTGGCATACACAACTGAAACCCATGGGATTCTTGCCTACGGTTAGAGTGTTCTACTATGTTAATAATTCCTACAACATTTGAGATGTTAGACGTTAGATAATTGTACAAGAAGGCAAGGCTGGGTGTGGTGGCACCTGCCTATACACAGCATTTGAGAGGCAGGGGCAGGGGTATCATGAGTTTGAAGTCATCCTGAGAGAAACACACACACACACACACACACACACACACACACACGGTAGGGAGGTGGGGAGAGGAAGAGAGGTTCAAACTAGAAGAATTCTATTGACCTAAGGTTAACTTTAAAATTCTGATATGTCTCAGAGTTAATGACAGAAGCTAAAGTGGTAAGAAAAAAAAAGAAGTTAATTGGAATTTAATTCAAAACCAACAAAATATTGGTTTATATTGAAACCGTGACTTAAATCTAATCACAGTGATGACCAGGACCACAGAATCCTATTTTACATATTAATTGTTGCAACGGCAACCAATCCAGATGTGACCACAACTCTCCGTAAGGACTCTCCCTCTGCCTCCAGACTTTCTCCTTCGGTATCATATTCGGTATCCATAGCCAATGTGGTGCGTTTCTTCCCCTGTGTTACTAAGTAACACCCTTAGCTCTGGTTTAACAGACATCTGCTAACCATTTCCAAGGCTGTAGGTGACGTGGGAGCTTGTCCCAGAACGTTGTCTCTTGTTTTATGGCTAGCACCTGTTCTGGAAATAACAGGAAATGCTTTATTGCAGAGATCTGTTGGTTTCTACACTTGGGTTTCTACAGATTCTATGACACGTAACCTGTACCTCGCAAGGACCTTAAGAAGGGATGCAATCATATGAAACAAAGTGTGCCCCTGTAGTCATGGAAACAACGGGTGATAAAAGCCTGTTCCCAAGGACCTTGTACCTCATATTTGCAGAAGAGTCTGTTAAATGTTTTCCTTAAAGGTTAGATTTAAAGCCTACCCTGCCCCTAAGAAAATCCCATGAAAGAAATAATGGCTCCACTGTCGCCCACACAACTATGGACAAGGACCCCAAGACTTCAGGCCCACCCCATTTAGCACGTGTGTGACTGTGCTCTCCACTGACGCACCCCTCCAGTCCGCCTAGGGAACGCGCCCTGGAAGTGTTCCTTTAGTCTAGCCCAGTTGTTCTCCATTTAGTTTCCAAAGGAATGTCCTTTTGTGGGTAGCATGAGCAGGAGCGTATATCCTATACTTTATGGGTGATTAAAGAGATTTTCAGAGGTGATTGCCTTTGTGTTTAATTTCCTTCATATCTGGCCATTTCACAGCCATTTTGTGCCTTTGTGTGATAGGAGATTTGGCTCTATTAGAGCGAACTGTCGAAACTATAATTGAGAATTTCCTGTGCCACCTGAATAAAGAGCTGGAAAACTCTCTGTGGTCCAAATGCCCTCTCAAGCCTCCCACGCTGGCATATAATAAGCATCACGTTGGCATTTAGAAAACCCATAGGTGCCACGCTTCCTATTTTTCTGGTGAAAATAGAGTCCTGTTGCTAAGCAGACGGGCAGCTCTGGGAGAGAACAGAGATTCTGAAATTTAACTCTAGAGGCTCAGGAAGAGACACCCCCAAAGTGACACTTGGGCGTGCTGTCTTGGTCAAGGTCAAACTCACATCTGCTGCATCCTCTCATAAGGAGGGCCTAGAACACCCTTCTCTGACTGGGAAACTGTCTTCCACAAGCAATGCAGTTGTTTCCAGGTCCCTGCCTAGCAGTTTCACCAAAGGAAAGGTTAAGAAGGAGAAAGGGAAGAAGCTAAAAGTCATCACCATTGTGATGATGGTTTCTAAGCACCGGAACTTGTTAGCTCTGCCACGACTCCCTCCTCCACACAAACACTAGTTACACTTGCTTCCTTCCCTTTGTCCTGACCTCTGCCCGTCGCCGGCTCAGCCTTCACTTTGCCCACGTCACCCATCTAGAGGTAGAACAGGAACTGGGAGAACGAGCGCAGGTATTATGGCCCTTTGTGAGCTAAGTGGAGGACGGTGAAATGACGATGTTCTGCCATGCTAATTCCTAAATGACAGAGACCACTCCAAACGCTCCATCCTGTTCTTGCTGGGGAGAGTATGTAGCCTCCAAACTCCTCAGTCCTGTGCATTCTGTAAGCATGGGAAGACTCGCAGCGCGCGGGAAACATTTTCCGGCTGTTGCCTTACAAAACAAACCCCAAGTGTTTAGGAGAAGTGCATTTGCTGATGTTTTCAGGCATCGATGAGATGTCATGGATCAAAAGGGAGAAACAAGAGGTTTCCTTGGACTCAGGAGAGAAGTGAGGCAGAGATGCAGAGTCCTCAGAATGAAAAACAAACAAGCAAATCTAACTAAAGAGCTAAATTGGCCTGAATCTAAATTCTGAGGCTTACAGGGACTGGCACAGCCTGTAAGTGGCTGTATGAGGACGGCCTATCAGAGTCCTGGTTCTCGCCTATAACCTGTCAGGCACCGGGCAAACGCTTTCACAGCTGCTCTGTCGTGTGTAATCTCCTGTACAGCCCGGCAGGGCCACTGCATGGCGCAAGGGCAGCTGGTAAGTATGGGGCCAGGGATGCAAACCCAGGTCTGTTTTTCTCTGCAGGACATCATGCTGGGGAGCAGAGGCAGGTGACTAAACTCAGAGACAAAAGAATTTAAAGAAAAGACTCCCTTTTCTTTAAAGAGTTCTGTCCATTGTAGTATTGGGCCATTGCAACAAGCCAAGAATACAAATGATGTTGATCAATGGGGGAAACTTCCAGACCCCCCTCACAAATATTGGATGTGGATGTCCCTAAGGCAGAAGAGAATGTGACAATGGTCTGTCACTATAAGACTTAGAGAATCCTTCGCAGCAATTCTCTCATCCCTATACCAGACTTCGGAAGGATCTCTTTAAGGACGTCGGTATTGAAGATGCTTCCTATATTCCATGATAAGTGGAGGAGGTTAACAATAAAAATCTATGGTGTACAGGTGGTTTGATTGGCCTATGTCTCTGTTTGAACCACGGCCCTGCCTGTCTACATGGCATTAAACCGAAAAGATACGCTTACTTTCCCTGTTCATCACACACAGGCACAATCAATCAATCCGTTTCAAGTCCCCACTCAAGCCTGAGTCACAAACAGACCTGACAGCACTTACTTTAAAAAAAAAAAAAAAACACTCTAAGTTTTCAATGACTTGGGCCCAGATGTGAGCATTTCTCTTCAGGGCTTTGCAGTGTGTTTCAGTTCATGGGGCTGGGTTACCTGGTTAGGATCAGGGCCAACTTCATCCCAGTTGTGAGTGACATGGCCTTGGTCAATGGACTCAAAGGGCTTGTGAGACACTGACGGGAGGATCCTATACAGCCAGCTAAGGGAAACAAGAAAAACAGAAAGACACGGCTTTGGGTAATGTTCTGAGGGACCTAGACCAGCTCTGGAGGTGCCCCCAAGAAGATATTCAACCAACAACCATCTATGGGCTTTGTTGTAAGAAGCAACGATTCTTCGTGTCTCAGTAGCCATCTTTGTCCCTAACTATGGTCTCTTGGTTCCTTCCATGACGCCCATACTCTTTAGGTTGAGACTCTGGTTCCTACCTGTTCACATACTGCCAAAAAATATGAAGCATTGCCTTTCCCAACCACTGTAAGGGGTAAGGAAGCACCATGAGGGACATGTACAATAAAATCCACAGAAGAGATGTAGATTCTTGCTTTTCAAGTCAGGACAATGATTTGGGAGAGCCTGAGAGAAGACGGGGAGTAGGTTTGTTATTTCTTAAGGTAAAAACCTGCTTTGTCCTTTGAAAGTGATTTATGACAACGGGGAAATAATTCCATATTCAAAACTTCCTGGGGGTGATCAGTGCTCTCCAACTTTTTTCATGGTTATTCCTTGGAGGTACAGAGCTTACCACTTTTCTCGTCTGTTGCCCTGGATTTCTCCAATGCGAATATAAGCAAAATTGGCAAACTGTAGGAGCACGGTCTTCTCACACTAATGATACAGCCGAGTACGTATCTCCCACATCTCCCCCAATCTGGGATGCTATTATAATTGCACACACTCTGGCAATCCTCCTGCCTCTGTGCTCTCCAGCTCTAGGGTTATAGGGGAGTGCAACTGTAGTGGCTATGTGGGTATTGGGGATTTGAACTCAGGTCAAATGCTTTTACCCACTAAGTCATCTCTCAAGCTCCAATGACCATACTCTTAAAAGTGAAATATAGTGTTTTTTTTTAGCATATCCTTTATTTTGCATAAGGTTGAATAAGCTTTGCTTATTTATCAGTCTTTCATAATTTTTTAGGAATTGCTTGTAGAGTCCCATGTTGACTTCAGTTGAGTTTTGTTTGGTCTTTCTGGTATTAATTGTGAGAAGTTTTAGAATTTCCACTTCTTTACTACGTAGTTAAAAAAGCACGTGTCCATGCTTCGATGTGGTGTGTTTATGGATGTTTGGCTTTCCTTTCCTTCAGTAAGTTCTGCCATCATCAAGGCCTGAGCTGGTCTCTTCTCTAGGATCAGATGCAACTCAAGGAAGGGAGAAGGAGTCTGCTGAGGGAACCTTGAGGATGAGAGGGAACGGTCTTACTAAGTCTTTACAGGAGTGGACAGGGAGAAGGACCCTTCTGTGACAGTGGAAGACCTGCTGTGCTCATCCGGCTCCGGACAGTCCAAACTCAAGGGTGGAATTTGCCTGTCTAGACACGAGCATCTGAATGATAAATGGGCTAAATTTGTTATCCTGCCATCTCATTCCCCCAGCTCTTGATGCAATGTCAGACCTAGACTCACAAACCTTTCAAACTCCCAGGAGTCTGTGGGGTTGAGCACATATGGAATGCTGCAACTTCCTGGACCCTATCCTCTTCATCTGTAGTCCCAAGGTTCATCTGTAGTCCTAAGGTTGCTGTAAGGACTGCAGATTTGCTCGGCACTCACTTACTGGACGATTATTGAATTGCCGTCTCTTAATCATCCGGGTTTTTACCACAATTTAAACTTTACAGATTTACTTTCCTGAGAGATAGATGGAACCTCTGGTAGATTGAGTGTTCCTAATGCTTTGGGGGTTAAGTGAGTACTGACTACCTGAGAGTGTGAAGCTGACCCATCCATAGGCAGACAGGGCCGGACGTTCCTGCTGGAGGCTTGAGCATTTTCCTCCGTTTCTTGTGCCTGTCTTTGGAGAGTTCTAAGCAGATGGGTGAGCCATGCCTAGTGTCCCTTATTTTTCAGCTGAGTTTAGCAAACTCCCAAGGCTACACTAGGTTGCCCTGGACCGAGATTTAATTCTGATGCAGGGAATGTTGCCAGCTTCTTAATGAAATGCCAAGAGTTCCTTTTCAGCCTCCTGGAACAAGCTCAGCTCCTGCTGGCTGAAGATACTGCTGAATAATGGGGGCAGGCAGCAGATTCTGGAGACCGGGTGGCCAGTGGATAGATGGGCTGTGAAGTGAAGAACACAGTTGTGGGGGCCAGGCTGCCATCAATTAGAACAGATAGGGATTGTTTGTGGATTACTTTATCTTGTCTAGAGGAAGAGATAGCCAAATAACAATAGAAACAATCTCTGAGTACTTGTTTGCTTTTGATTTGTGTTTTGTTTGCTTGGTTGGTTTGGTTTTTTTGAGGCAGGATATGTAGTCCAGGTTGGCTTCCAGTTCTTAATGCTCCTGCATCAACCTTCCGAATCCTGGGATCACAGGCGTTCACCACACCATGCCCGGCTTTATCCTTGATTTTTGATAAGTAAAAAAGAGTCTATCCCTTTGCCTATATTATCTCTTAGGATCCCATTTACAAATGTGGAGGCTCTGAAGGGTAGAGAATTGTTCAACACCATCAACGGTAGGTGTAGGAGCAAGGGCTGAACCACAGGGGGCGCTGCCTGGCTGTCTGGCTGCCTGGGAGTGGACATGATTCGTCATGAAGGGAGGTGATATTTACCACGCACGTGCTGTTACGCTCGCTGTCCCATCTGCTTCTCGGGAGGATTCCCGATAACCCACTTCCTCCCTCTATCTAGACAGTGTAAGCCCACTCCAGCTCTCCTTCAAATCTCCAAAGTCAGCAACATCATTCTCTACACACCAGTGACCTGAAATCTCCACAATTAGATGCCGTGAATTCAAATCCTAACACTTGACTGCCTCCTGGGTCTCCAGTGTCAGCAGCATTCAGCCTGCTCCTTAGAGGCTGATTAGCGAGAGGGTTCACCGAGGTGGCTTGTAGGATTAGAGTGAGCACAGAACACGCCGCCCTGTACTAATGAACATGCCAGTTTCCAGGAAAGGCAAATTCCGAAGAGGAGAAACCCTATTAATTCAAACCCCGTGGGGCCATAATACGTGACCTTTCAAGCACTTCAGCTTGGATTATCGGTTTTCACGCAAAGAACATAATGCTTCTAGTCAGCCGAGAAAGATGTCTGAATCTTGTCTGACTGGAGGCTGAGACTATACAGTCCTTAGAGGGAAGTCAAAGCGTGAGAAACCTTTCCTGTGGCTTTCTAGTGAGACTTTGTAATGGGACTGGATTTGTGTGTGTGTGTGTTTTTTTTTTTTTTTTTGCCTCTGTACAGCTGTTCCCTAGCTTTCTTCTGCCAATCACTCACTGGGAACAAGCCTGGATGTCCCCGATGTGACCCAGAACGCAGTGCACAAGGAGGGCCTTTGGGGAGACTGTGGCTGGGATGCAGGGCCCCCAGATCTAAGTCAGCATTGACCCCAGTGTGTACCTTCTCTTATTGGTGCTCCGTGGACAAGTGAAGGCTGATCCCGAGAGCTGCTCCGCGTAGAGATTGTAGGGGCAGACTTGCGGATTATTCTAAAACAAAGGAGGTGGCACACAGAATCATTCCACCACCCAAAGCATCCTACATTCCCACCTGTTCAGTGGAGAGAGATCCTGACCTGAATGCACAGGCTCTGGACCACTGCACATTGCTGCCCCCTGCTCCCCATACTTGCAATATCTTTGTGACGTCCCCCAGTGAGAGTGATACAGGCTTACTGTGGAAAATTCACAACATATGCAATTACCCGTTACCTCGCCAACCAAAACAACCTAATATTAATGTTCATATATTTCTTTCTGTTCTTGCCTCCAAATGAGGATCCTATGAGACATGTAAGTCTATAATAGTCGAAAATTTTTCCTCTGAAAAGGATGCAGTATGTCACAAGCATTTCTTCTGTTTTGTTTCGAGACAGGTCTTGGTGTGCAGCCCAACCTGCTTGCAAACTCAGGATCCCCCTGCTTCTGCCACCTGAGTGCTGGGATTACGCTGGTGTACCACTATGCCAGTCTAAAAGCACTTTCCATACCATGAAATGGCCGCCAAAAAGTTTTGAAAATAAACTCATTTGCAGTGGTCTTGCTACTGTAACCATCATGGGTGAGGACACATTCGTGCACACATTTGCCAAGTAACTTATTTTCTTATCATGGTCGGATCCCATGTTCTTCAGCGGGGCTCTTTCCAGGAAGTTCCTCTAACCTTGGATTTGCGGGTTTATCCGGGAAGTTCTTGTAGTTAATCTCACTTATTTGGATTGGGTCCTTTGCTGTAGCTAATCAATTTAAACCCTGTTTTGATATTTTTGTTGGTATTGTGCTCTAACACCATTGTGCTAATGATCTTGGACACTGGACAGTTTGCCTGCTAAATTAGAAGTTGGGCGGAGCTATTGGGTTTACACGCTTGTCTTCCTTACCTACAGTTCTGAGTCCTCCCTCCAGACATTCGTCCCATTCTTACCTGTCCTTCTGGCAGAGAACCCGGGCAGCGAGGGTCCTCTGAAGCACACTCGTTCCCAAATCCAGAAATGTACTACATATGACAAAGACACAAATTTCATTGTTACTGGGGTGTATTTGTGTGTGCACGTTGTTACATGTATGTAGGTGAATATATGTGCACGTGTGGAAGACCACAGTTGAGTGTCTCTCTTCCTCAACTGCTTTTCTTAGTTACTGCGATAAGGCTCTCTCTGAACTGGAGGCTCACTGTGAGGCTGGTTCACCAGTTTCCTCCAGGACCGCTAACTCTTCCTCTCACAATAAAACTGGTTCATTCGGAGGATCCATACTCTGGTCCTCAGACTTGAGTGAGCTTCCTGCTGAGCCGTATTCCCCGCCCCTAACAGGATGTGAAGAGCATTTTACTACATTGCCGTACCACAAAGGCAAGAATAGCTACAAGGGCATGTATTTGTGTGATACTCTATAGGCAACAGCTGCTATGTCTTGACTGGTGAACTGTTTAGGATATACGATATGTGTTTGTGTGTTTTAAACATTTGCAGTTAACCAGAGAGGAATTGCATAGGCTTTCTGTCCGTAACCGTTCTTGACTGGTTTTATAAGCTTGCTTTTAATGACCCCATTTCAAGAGCAAGCTCTTTAATTCTGGTTCTGTCTGGAAAGTCCTGGGAGGGAGATGGCTCAGGCATCATTTCAGCTCCAAACCAGCAGGATGGCTCTCTATCACAAGTCCTTTCCCCCTGCGCACCCTAAAACAAACAAATAAGCGAGAGACCAAAATCCCAAACTGGGAAGAGGTATGTGGATTTAAAGAGACAGGAAGATGTTTGTTAGAAAACTCCTTCCAGATGTACAGTGGTGGCATATGCCTTTTATCCAAGCGCTGGGAAAGCAGAACCAGGCAGATCTTGGTGAGTTCAAGGCCAGCCTGGTCTACAAGAGTTAGTTCCAGGACAAGTTAGGACTGTTACATAGAGAAACTCTGACTTGAAAAACCAAAAAAAGGAAAAAAAACAAAAAACAAAAAACACTCCTTCCACAGGAGTCAGTATCACCTGGGTTAGTGTGTGTGTGTGTCTGTGTGTGTATCGGCATTTGTGCGGATACAAGAAAGGAAGGATTAAAGATGGAATGACTTAGAAGATGCTTCAGCCCCAAATCTTTTCAGAAAAATGCAACAGGGCTACCATGATTGCCATCTCCGAGGTTCACAATACAGAGGGGAAATTAGATTCCTCAACAAGGTAACTTACAGGGGTCCTCTGAAATTTATACACCCCCAATAGTAAAGACTGCTTTATTGATGGCACTTGGGAAAGCCAATAAATACTGATCCTCAAAGAATATCGCAGCTATCCACAGACAGCTGAACTAGGACCAAGGAACTGGTTTGAATGAAGTCATTCCTGCTTCTTGAAAAATGAGCGCACAGCTGCCAGAGTCCTGTGCTGGTCTACAAACTGTGAGGGCCATGGTGCCTCCATTGGGGGGAAGGCATCAGCTGCTCCAACCTTTAGCTACCTTGGAATTCCTGAAACAGCTTACTTCCCCTCTCTAGAAATTTATTTACAAAATGGTTGCATGAAATCATGCTTACGATCCTTTGGGCAATCTGAGGAAGGGCAGCAGACTTTGTAGCATCTTGGCTCAGTCACTGCTCATCCACTGGGAGCCAGTACTTACTCTTGCCATGTTTAGCGCACCTGACTTTGGGCGTAGGTCTGCCACTGTCTCGCTTCTCTGCTGCTCCGTGATTCCTGAAGGTTGGTACTGTGCCGGTTTTATTCACCTCTGTGGACCTCGTGTCTCGGCCCATGGAAGCCATTCAGTGGGCACCTGTCGAGTGTTTCTCACTCAGGGCCGGTCCTCAGGGTGCATGGTTCCCACCATGAGTGGGATTTGAACTCCCTTTGCTCTAAAGCAAACACGAGTTGATTTTAGCCTACGATAAGGAGAGTGCAGCCCTACTGGGTGAGAGAAATACCACCATCTGAGCATGATTGTTTAAGAGATAGGAGAAGGGTGGATGTGGGCGGAGGGTAGGCCCTTCAAAGTTCTTGGCAGCTTCCGGAAGAATGAGCTAGATGTAACACGCCTGGATGTGTGAGCGATGATCAGGCCAGCAGTGTCTATATTTGGAAGGAATATGAAATGTGAAATGTTATGACCTAGAAAGCAATGGGAGTGAAATTATTCATTTGTCTTCAGACACGGGTTTGTGTGTGTGTGTGTGTGTGTGTGTGTGTGTGTGTGTGTGTGTGTGTGCTGTTGCTGGGGTTTGAACTTGAGGCCTTATGCAAATGCGCTTTGCAGCTTAGCTCAACCCCCACAGTTTTTAAAAAATCTCTTTGAAAATTTATCAGAATCCTCCCTCCCCCAGTCAAGGTCTTTTCTAATGAGATTTGTTCCAAGCTGCGTACAGTCTGGAATTACAGCTTTGGGGTAATGGCGGAGACCATCCGCTCTCCTGAACCTCCGCGGAGTAACTATTTCCTTCTCTCAAAATGAACCCCATGCGCGCGCACCACCAACAGGACTGAGTTCGAGCTGCTGAGGATCAGTAATGACCTCTAATTAATTATCTTCCATTCTGTGAAACAGGATTGGAGATCAGCCTGTGACAGAAGCCGCTGAGGAAGACAGAGGCCTCTCTTAGTCGGGCTGTGCCGTTGTTCCTACCTGCAGGGAGGAGGGGGAGGTTTGAGAGCTACCTTGTCCAGCTGAGCTTTCTGGCAGACGGCATGGATTTACTGATTAACCTTCCTTGGTCTTTGTAACCGCGGGCCTCAGAACACAGTTTCTAAGTGTATTCGGAACAAGGAGAGATGGGAGTTAGCGATTCTGAAGCATTTGATTAAGGCCCTGCTCTAAGGAAAAGGGAAAAAAAAAAACACACAGAAAGAACAGCTGTTGGTTTGGGAAGGAGCCACCCGGAGCTCCGAGGGAAAGAGCGAAGGAGGCAGGAAGGAGGGAGGGAGGTGGCAACTTTTTTAGTTCTTTTTTCCACCTCATGGAAGTGCACTGGCTTAAGAAGCCAGCGGAAGCTGCTGAGTCACCGTTAGCTGGTTGGTCTTCCTAACCTTCCAGGAGCAAAATTATGGAGGTGTTTGTTAGATTTGATTTTTTTTTTTTTTTTTTTTTTTGCCACCAAAGACTTCCCAGCGGAGGGAGCTGCGTTCTGCAGCTGCTGTCTCAAGGCTTTCAGTCCAAGGACAGACTCTGAACTCTGCTTCCATCAGCTGTGAAAACCCAAGCGCTCCAGCTCCAGCTGCCTCTGGGATTATGTAAAGATGCACCTTCTGCAAAGAGTCAAATAAATCCTGACATTATGCGACTGTGTTTATGTTTCCTTCAGCTCAGATTTCGGAATAATTTGATGCTATATAAAAAGACAATTTTCTTTCTTTTCAAGAGAATTATATGCATACGTTTTAAATGAAAGAATACATTTCTGGGGCCCATGTGACTTGGGCACAGTCACTTCTCTTGCAGCTCACTGGCACCCAGCTTTTCAATTCTCATCTGGTCCGCAGGGTAGGATTTACTTGTCAGAGTCATTTGAAGGGGTCCTTTTGAGTCAGATTCATGGTAACACCTGATGTGGGGATTAGATGGTGCACCTCATTTCCTTTTAAGGGGAGCTAGAGAAAGAGGGACGAGTCTGGGAAGACAGAGGCCCAGGGCTCTTCTATTTTGTATTTCCCTCCTATCAAAGAAGCCAGTTCTCCTGGCTAACCTTAATAGAATCAAGGTTGTTAGGGCAATGTGCTGCTGCTGCTGCAGGCTGAATAACGCTCTGGAAGGACCCTGGAGTCTTATTTCTTAATGCTTGAAACTAAGAGGCAGGCTTTTGAATAGACAACTTAGGACTTCGAAGCCCTGACCCTTTTGGCAAACAGCCCTCAACATGCTGGTTATGGTGTAGATAATGATGAACCAGAAGCGCAGGTGGCGGGGCAGCCTGTGACCCCTCGCAAGAGGTGGGTGAGGAAGATTGGGAGTTCAAGGTTATTCCTTCCTGCATAGTGAGTTCAAAGCCATCCTGGGCTACCCAAGACCCTGTCCGGAAGAAACAAAAGACCGAAAAGAGAAAGAAAGAAAGAAAGAAAGAAGAAAGAAAGAAAGGAAGGAAGGAAGGAAGGAAGGAAGGAAGGAAGGAAGGAAAGAAGAAAACAGACCAAAGAACCAGATAAGCAATTTGGGGCTCACAACTGTTGGGTAAAGGAACCAGTGTGGAGCTTAAACTGGCCATAAAGCTAAGAGGTACATTAGTGACAGCCAAAACAAGTCGCTTCTTCCTGTTCCCAAGCAAAGAAAAACTAAAAGCTAAACTCATGGCCAGAGGTGGAGTTAGCCATCCCTTCTGTGAAATGCCATTCCTGAGTTTGGTGCTGGCTAGACCAGCCTTTACTGCAAAGATAAAAAAAAAAAAAACCAAACAAACATATTCTAACACGGCTATTTCCGTCTTCCTGGATTGGCTTTGGGAAGGAGAGCAGAGGTTTCCCAACTCTCCAGTCTTGGGAGCAAATTGCAGTTTTCATGCCCATCTCAATAGAAACCCGAGAGGCAGCAGGTTCTTCACGCCCATCTCTGTCACCTTATTACCTGCTGTCTCCTCTGGTCTCTGTCCTTTTTCTAGGGAGGAGTCTAAGGAAGGTCTTCCTAACCTCTGGCTGCCTCACCCACGGCCCGAGGTCGTTTTTCAGCTGCTAAGGTGACTTGGAATGAACTTGGAAATGCCAGCTTCTGAATTTTCTTCCTCTCGCTGTGCTTTCATGTAAATGTGATCTCATCTGAGGATTTGTGTTGACTTAGCCATTGCAATGACGGAGGAAGCCTGAGGGACATTTCAAATTAGGTTTGATACTGTTTATTGATGGGGATGGGTGTGCCTTAAAACTGGCTCTCTGTGTTAAGATTCCTGACCTCTGGAGATGAGACAGCAGGCTGAGCGAGCCTTTGAAACTGAGAACAAAGGCCAGCGTGCCATTTACATGCGGTGGCGTTTTGCATACTAAGTTGCTTAAACATTGCAGCAGGACAGGATTTTAGATATGTTTTATTTATAAATGGTAAGGATGCTTCCTCCCGTGATGAGCTTCCTCATAGGATTTAACAAAGCAAAACTCTTATGAATTCTCCTTCCTCCCCATCTTCAGTTACACCGGGCAAACGGGGACCTTTAGGTTCCCATTACCTATGCCCACTCCCCTTCGGTTCAGGCCTGCACACAGGTCCTCTCCTGGGCACTCCCAGTTTAGCTGAAGCACTAGGTTCCTGGGGTGCACAGATCTTTCTGCATATTTTGTGCCTTCAGACATGGCATGACCTCTGGCCTCGTCCTGTGTTGTCACTCCACCTAGGAACAGCTTCCCTCCAGGAGTTACTCCATTCCCATGTTGCATTAACTGCAATATCATGAATGAACACCGAATGAGAGCTTACTCTAGGTCTGGCGCAAAGATCGTGGAAAAAACCTCTTTGCTGCGGTGCTAAGCACCTTCAAGGTGCCTATTAATTAGAGAACTGCCTGATTTACCATCCCAGCTTTGATTGTAAAGCTTTTTGGAGGTGTTCTATCCCTGAATCCCAGGATGAGGCCTAGTGGGTCTTTTCTACCCAGCTTGCGCCAATGTGCCAGGATGTTCTAGCTCTGGTTGTATGCAGTGAACTGAGCAATAGGCAGAGGTTTTGTTTGTTTGTTTGTTCGCTTGCTTTTTTTTTTTTTTTTTTTTGGTTTTTGTGACAGGGTTTCTCTGTGTAGCCTTGGCTGTCCTAGAACTCACTCTGTTGATCAGGCTGACCTTGAACTCACAGAGATCCTCCTGCTTCTGCATCCCGAATGCTGGAATTGAAGTTGTACACCACCATAGTATGGCTACTATAGGCAGAGTTTGAGACCCTGGGAACACCCTCTTCTTCCTGCCCCAAAGGCGCCAGCCTAGCAGGTGCCACCAATCTTTTTTTTGGGGGGGCCTGAATTTGAACTCCGATAAACCCGAGTTCTACTGTGGCCTCCATCCTTCACCAGCAGGGACTTTGGGTGAGTCTCTTAGTCTCTATAAGCCTTGCTTTCCTACCTTTGAGCCATCTCTCCAGCCCCTCCTTATTGGTTTTAAAATAGGAAAAAGAGCACCTATACCCCAGGTTTACAGCGAGCACAGTTAAAACCTCCAGCATCTGTAACACATGGTCCACTCGTTCTCAATGGCACACTAAATAAGAAAGTACTGTCAAGGCTGAGTCCGAGGTACCAAATGATTAAGCAGGTTAAGCACATTAAACTGGCTGGCCTGAAACAGTCCAGGGAGTTGCAGTCACAAGGATGGCAGAGAGCAGCCGGGAAGGAGACACATAGAGAAATGCACATGTCCATTTAGAAGGGGAGCTCTCAACATGCCCACGGACCCGCAAGACAGTGTTAGAGATGAACAAAGGCAAGGGTACAATTGCTTTCTTTGGTCACCTCTTCCTTGTCCCTCCAGAGCATAGGACCTTAGGTCAGGCTCCCTTGCATGTGTGTGTGTGTGTGTGTGTGTGTGTGTGTGTGTGTGCATGTGTGTGTGTATGTGTGTGTGTACGTGTGTGTGTGTATGAGTGTATATATGCACATGGGACTATAGGGGCCACAAAGGCTAGAAGAGGGTGCTAGCCATATGAGCAGCTGGACAGGTTCTGGGAATTGAACTCAGGTCCTCTGGAAGAGCATCAAGTGCTAGTAACTAGTAGGCAATCTCTACAACCCCCACCCACAAGTGTTTTTCAACTCTGACACCAGAAAACCCCACAAATTCTTACTGAAGAAGGCACAATAAACTTGTTAGAGATCTCTCCACTCTTCTTCCCTCCTCTTTTCCTTTCTCTCCATCTCTTTTTCCTTATTTTCTCTAGTGTTGATGCTTGAGACATGCTAAGTGTAGGCTTTCCTGTTTAAGTGACACCCCCAGATACAGTCTCCAGAGTATATCCGAATCCAGACAGAGGGTTTCTTACCTTTAACTCTGCCATTTTAAGCGGAGGCCAGGGAGTTTGTGAGGCGCCAAGTCTTCTGTCTCTCTTTATAATCTCAATAGAATTCTTGTTTTCACCAGTTCATCGCATTTCCGTGCTCAGCACTTTACTCAAGGCAGAGTTGCCTAACTGACATACTAGGCAGAAAGTCCAACGTGCTAACATCTACAATTCTTGCACAACTATTTTTTTTTATTATTAACCCAGGTCATCTCTGAGAGCATTGCAGAGGACTGGTTCCATTCACTGGAGGTAAATATTGACTTGTTCCACTTTAAGGAAGGCTTTTCCCCAAAGGCAAAGGACTTGAAGCTGAAAAAGGAACTGTGGGAGTTAGCACATGTCAGATGTGACAGAATTCTTTCTCAGTCCAGACTCAAGCCAGGAAGGAGCAGGGCCAGGATTCAGTGACCATGGAGGGAACACTACGTGCTTTGACCCAAGGTCAAGAGGTGTGGGAAGAAGGGGACCAGGATTGGTGGCTCCCTGACACGGCCTCCCACGGAAGAGTTCAGGTCCCAGAGCTAGGACTATTGAGAGAGTGTTGAACTTAGAACAAGCTGGGATGTTTACTGTCATTCATCTTGAGTTCCTAGAATACATTAGGTATGCTTATACCCTCTTTAGTCATTAGCTTCCTAATGCCTTAGTCCTGAGAGCAGACTGCTCCCCAGCTGCTTTCTCCTGGCCTTGCTTGTCCTTCGTCTTAGCCACTTGCTGCAGCCGTTGGAAGGTAGCAACTTCGTGACTGGTGGTCTTCAGGAAGGGAACATACACCGAGGCTTGTCTGTGCCAGGTTTTCCCCACAGACACTACCTCGTTTAGTTTCACAAAAACAGCCTTGCAGAGTAGGTTTTATTATTACAAACTCAGATGCAACAGCACAGGAAGGAAAAGCAGCCGAGTCGATCAGGCCAGGTGATTCTCCAGAAGCTAAATTCTAATTTTGAAATGTTGGCAAAAAGAAGAAAGAACTCTAAATCCAAATTTTGCAGCTAGAGGTTTCCAACAGTAAAGGGTTTACTGAGCTGTGTAGACTCTAAGAGGTAAAGGACTAGAGCCCCTAATACATGAATGACTACTAGATAGCATCTAGAACATGCCTACCCAACCTAAGGGTTGTGCTGTTTTATAATAAGATTTGGGAGAAAAGAAATAAAAAGCATTTACATCAAACCTGTATTGGCTCTAGATAAGAAGGGCAGGACACACAAGACCACAGCAGCCTAGGTCTGTGCACAAAGAGAAGTCTTGCTACTGTTTGTTTGTTTGGTTGGTTGGTTCCAAAATCAGAATGCAATATGGCCCTGAGGAGTGATCTTCAGCTCAAAGATGGATATGGAAGTGTTTTTCTTTGCTGATTAACCTTGAGATGTGAGTTTAAATGGCCTTCTCTTACCTCTGCAGTCCTCTATGCACCAGCATGTAACTTAATATAGGACATCTGTCTCAGGATGGAGGAAAGGAAAGGAGGAAGGGAGGGAGGGAGGAAGGAGGAAGGGAGTGAGGATGAAGAAAGGAGGAGGAAGGGAGGGAGGAGAGAGGAAGGAGGAAGAAAAAAGGAGGAAGGGAGAGAGCAGTAAAGGAGGGGATGAGAAAAGAAACCTTTACAGTGCATCACAAACATTGCCTAGTTCTTCCCCATGTTTCTGTGTGCCCCTTGAATGTGACTTTACTGTTCCTTCCATCAAGAGTCTTTAGCTGGGCATGGTGGCATACAGCTGCCACCCAGCACTTGGGAGACTGCAGCAAGAGGATTTTGAGTTCAAGGCCAGTAGGGACAACACAGTGAGACTCTACACAAAAACAAGCCAAGAGGTGGAGTCTTTTCCTCCTCTGGATCTTGGTAAACAGGACGTTAGAAAGCATAGCACAGAGGCTTGACGATTTGGTCATAGACACTTATATATTTCCAGCTGTCTCAAACTAATATGAAATAGGATGGAACTAGCTTCCGGGGTGTGTGTGTGGGGGGAGCGGGTGGCAGCTCCACAGCTCACACTAAAACAGTCCTCTGCCAGATGACTGCAGACAAGCGAGGGATCCCAGGTGAGAACATAGGAACCATCAGCTAAATCGAGCCTAGGTTGTTGACTGAAAGACTCGAGAGCAAACAGAACAGCCTGCTTTCTACTAATAAGTCTGAGAGTGGCTGGTTAACAGTGACAGATAATTTAACCGTATAACGAAACCATCAAGTGCTGCAGGTCTAAAATGGATTCAGGCTTCCATTCTGAGATCCTGTCTTTAGATCATGGGACTGAGCAACCTTCCGAGCTCAGGACTGTGGTGTACTGTTGCAGCTGCAGTGAAATGCATGAGGTGTTCCACACGCAGGGCCAGTCTTACGGGCCATATAGGGGATGTTGGTGCAAACTTGTGGACTAATTTCTGGCAGGCAGCTTACAGGGAACCTTAGCACGTTAGAGATTAGACAAATGACTTATAAGGTATAAACTCTGAAATTTGTTTGTAAAATTGGAAGTGTATGGAGACCCTTGTATTATTTTACTATTTTTTTTGAGCTATATATTTTTCTCTGCTCCCTTCCCTTCTTCTCCACTCCCCCTCTAACCTCTCCTGTGGTCCCCATGCTCCCAATTTACTCAGGAGATCTTGTCTTTTTCTACTTTCCATGTAGATTAGATCCATGTACATCTCTCTTAGGGTCCTCTTTGTTGTCTAGGTTCTCTGGGATTGTAAATTTTAAGCTGGTTTTTCTTTGCTTCATGTCTAAAAGCCACTTATGAGTGAGTACATGTGATAATTGTCTTTCTGGGTCTGGGTTACCTCACTCAGTATGATGTTTTCTAGCCCCATTCATTTGCCTGCACATTTCAAGATGTCATTGTTTTTTTCTCTGCTGTGTAGTACTCCATTGTATAAATGTACCAGATTTCCCTTATCCATTCTTGAGTTGAGGGGCATTTAGGTTGTTTCCAGGTTCTGGCTATGACAAACAATGCAGCTATGAACATAGTTGAAACCCCTGTATTATTGAGGCTAACTATGTGCAGACCTGAAGTAGAAAGGAAATTCTAGTAAATTCTGAGTTTATGAGTACCTTGGAGCTTCCTTCTAACTAACTTGCTTTGGTGGTTGAAAAACAATACAGGAGCTAATAAAAGGCAAAGGAGGGTCCCACTGCTCCATTCTTCCATGGAGCCAGCTTCAAAGACAGACTTTAGAAGTGTTTCATGCTGGGTGTGGAGGTGCACATTCTCCATTAATTCCAGTACTCGAGAGCCAGAGGTAGTTGGGTCTCTGTGAGTTTGAGACCAGCCTGGTCTACAGAGTGAGTTCCAGGGCAGTCATGGATATATAGATAGAGACTCTGTCTCAAGAAGAAAAAGGTTTCACTGTGTGAGAGACCAAAGGAGGAAGAAAGTGACGGCAGATTCCTGGTTGGATGAAATTTTCTTCAGGGCCCTGGAAATATTTTAACTAGAATTAGCCTATTTTAATAGACTTTAGGAATTCCTCCAATGTGGATAACTTCATTTCCTACCTTGTCTATTTTTATATAACAATGATTCAGCAAATTAAGCATTTGCTTTGCAATCATTACGCCAGGCACTGTGAGCCACACATCCGGGGAATGAGAATAAAAAACCCCACAGGTACAGGTAGCCTTGAGTCTTTGTCAAATGGCTTCCTATTTTAACTAACGAATGCACATATGCATTCATTTTTCTTGAGGGCCATTTCAACAGTGTATGCCAAGTGCTAAGACAATAACTACAGGTCCAGGGCATTGTTGGAGGGGTTAGACAGGGCCTCAAGCCCAGACTAGGAGAGCCAGGGAAGGCCTCCTAGTGGAGATGATGCCCGAACCATGTCACCTTGAGCAGCAGGGACAGTACATGTGGATGGAGAAGTAGCAGTACACTGTGTAGGGGTCAGGGTGCCTGAAAGGAGGAGTGGGTGGGAGGTCCTATTGAGAAGCCTTCCAGGAACAGGGGTGCCTGGGCAGACTTTTGAAGCAGGCTAGGAGAGTCACATTTAAAAATACACCCGGCAGAAGGGTGAGACTGTTGGGGTAAGTCAAAGGCGTCCTGGACCAGAGCGATAATACCTAAGCAGCGAGCAACAAAGACAAAGTCGGTAAAACCGGGCGTGAGGAGGGGTTTGATGAACCAATACTGGGAATGTGTGGAGCAGCGATTTGAGGCCTGGGGGCGTCTTCTGCTTTCTGATCTAGCAGAGAGCAACTTCACTCTCTGCAGAAGCTCCCAGGAAAAGGTCTAAACTCTCAGGTCCTGTGATCCCAGGTACTTTGGAGGCTGAGGCAGGTGATGAGGTTCACTTTAGGCTAGGCCAGCTTGGGCAACACAGTGTGTCCCCTGGCTCAGACAAATAACAAAACCAAACCACAAAAACCTCAGCCCTCCCTCCTGCCCCCACTGCACCTTCCAAGATTCTCGTGGCATGCATCCCCTCTTTAGATCCTAAACTGAAGATTCTTCTCTAGGTGAGCGGCCGGAAATATGACATATTTAGATAACCTTGTATTAAATATGGGATGCAAAATTTCTGGAAATGTTCAATGTACTTTATTTTTTGTGGGTGGGGATGTTGCATATGCCACAGTGCACCTATGGAGTCTGAGAGCCCCCTAAGGCTGTGGTTCTCAACCTGTGGGTAATGACCCCTGGGCGTGTCAAACTATTTTACAGGGGTTGCATATCGGATATTCATATGACAATTCATAACAGTAGCAATGAACTAATTTTATGGTTGAGGATCACCACAGCATGACAAACTGCATTAAAGGGTCCCAGCTCGAGGAAGGCTGAGAACCACGGACCTAAGGGATTGGTTGTCTCCTTCCACCATGTGGGTTCTGGGATCCAGCTCTCATTGTCAGGCCTGGTGGTAAGAGCCTTTCCCTGCTGACCCTTTTACCAGCCCTGAAAATCAATCAATCTCTCTCTCTCTCTCTCTCTCTCTCTCTCTCTCTCTCTCTCTCTCTCTCTCTCTCTCTCTCTCTCTCTCTCTCTCTCTCTCTCTCTCTCCTCTTCCTTTGTGCATTTAAGAATGAATAACCCATACATCTGAAATAGCAAGATTGTATCATCTAATGCTGCCTTTTGTAGTTTTACGTTTTAGCAAAGTTGTTCGCATAAAAATAGGTATGAATGAGCTTTAATT